TTCTTTGCTTCGTCAGGCAGGGCACGATTCAGAGCAGGCCTCCCCGCATAGACTTCCAAAACACATCCCAAATGAGTACACATCTGATTTCTCTGTCAAACGCTGCGTTCTGAAGTACTCAGGATCTAAGTAACCGAAGCTTCCCTTCACAACAGTGCTCACATGGGACTTATCTGAAGATGGGCCCCTCCGTGAGATCCCCAATTCTGAAACTTTGGCCACCAAATTCTCATCCAAAAGAATATTCGCTGCCTTCACGTCCCTGTGTATTATGCTTTCACAACCACCTAAACCTGTGTGAAGATAATGAAGCCCAGCGGCTGCTCCTATGCAGATTTCAAGCCTTTGCTTCCACGAGAGAGGGACGACGGCTTTTTTTTCCCGTAGAGATGGCCGTCGAGAGATCCGTTTGCCATGTAGGCATAAACCAGGACCATTTGGTTATACTCGCAGCAGTATCCGAGAAGAGACTAGATTTTGGTGACGAAGTTTCGATAAGAATTTGATCTCATTCTGGAACTCGGCAATGCCTTGATTGGACTGAGGATTTGCTTTCTTGATCGCAATCATCGTACCGTCTTTGAGCTGTCCCATGAACACACCTTCCCAAATCCACCATTGCCGACATGATAGTTCTCATCGAATTTTTGGTTGCTTCTTGAATCTCCTCGAATGTGAATATTCTGAGTCTTCCTTCGCTGTTTGACCAAGTTCTGTTGGACTTGCCAGCTCTTATGCGACCATAAAAGTAATAGATAACACATGCGGACAAACACAGAGCAGCCATGCCACAGCTCGAAATGATTAATGCTAATTTTGGAATTTTCTGATCTGATTTTGCAATATATTGTCAACTGAGGAAAGCCCATCCAAGCTTCTTACCTCGTTGCTCATTTTCAGAATCTCTAGCCCGTTCGAGATAGCATTAAGCCCTGCTCAGGGCCACCAGTTTCCACAGTCACGCTCAATTTGTCTGAAGCTTCTTCAGAAATATTATTGTTGACATAGTCGATGACGTATGGAACACCAACATCATAGGTGAAGGCTGATAGACTCAGATTTTTCATCAGAACCTCAGAGTTTACGTACACATTGAAAAACAAGCTGTTCCTGGACTTGCTAATTATATCGCAGAAATGCATCCTCAGAATGTATTTGAACTTTGGATTGACTGGAAAGACCCATGTCAAATTGGACTTGCTCGAAATATTTGTCAAGGCTTTTGCGGTGGCATAAACATCTGCAGGTGCTACCTCGGAAGACCCGAAGTCGTTGGATGAAGACTTTATGGAGAATGGGTTCACCGACATATTTGAGGCTAAAGGGTTAGGCTGAAGATACTTATCGTCTTCTTCCCAAACTCTGAAAAGAGTGCTGTTTTGTGAAGGGACTACAGAGTGGCCTCCCATGTTCAAGCGATACATGGTTTCAAGAGCAGCATCTTTCAATTTTGGAATATATAAGGTCTGATCAAAAGAGAATATCTTATCTGGGACAGGAACAACCTCAATGGCATTCACAAATGCAACATCGGACTCTCTAGAAGGGACAAAAGTTAGGGTTAAAATATCAGTATTGACATCAATCACGAACTCCTTGAACATGTAAGCACTATTGTGTTTGGAAGTGTTAAAGCTAAAGTGATCAAGGAGGACATAGCTTCCAGTGACAACACTGAACGAGACTGAAGCTAATATTTTGGAAAGAGGATGAAAGTAGAGTCGGATGAAATGCCAGCCTTTGTGGGCGATATCGAAGTTGTAAGAAGCTAAGGTTGTGAAGGTTCTAGCAGATTGGTAAATCGGGGAGAAAGTTCTAGAAGAATTAACAATATCAGAATGTTCAGAATCAAAGGTAACAGAGGGTTGCTGAGAATCAGCAACAAAGGTACGATGAAGATGAGTAATGTCATTCGAAGAACCGCAAGCAATGAAGTAACTATCAGGAGGAGTATTTGTGGATGTAGAGCAGGATGAATGAATTATGAACAGAAGAAGAATGAGAGAGTAATCAAACTCGAGGTTCCTCATCTTCGATGGATCAATCATACCATTTCGTTAACTTATAATAGAGGACATTATTCCAACGTCGTACGATGATGGGTTAATTTAGTCGTCACATAATTTCTTACCTCCTTCCAGATGTCTACGTTTAGTCTATTAGTCGAATCCCTGTCCAGCTAAGTTCGTTCTGGTTTGAAAAGGGTTTAAGTTCGGTATAATTGTCATAAGTCTAGAAAACAAGATTGGATATCTGGAGAAAAGCATGGGTGGTCGTTTCGAAGTGAAAGCAATGGAATGTTAAAAAAACCCAACAAAAGTATATCTACCCCCATTTTATATTGTTGCTTCAGCAAAACCAAAACCGACCAAAAGAGGCGTGAAAGTGCCAAGAAATTTATTAAGAAGGGAAAGGAAACACAAGTTAAAACAAATTATTATATCTCAAGAAGTCCGGAACAGGGGTCCGGTGATTGAATTAGCAATAACACATCTTTGATTACTATATTTTAAATTTTTAATGATTTTCTTGGCTAGGTTTATGTTTCCGTGTTGACTGAGTCATTATAATCAAATATGTTTATCATTACTCTACGGGAATTAGATAAAGCGCATTTTTATGCTCATTATGTTTGGATATGGAAAATTAAATTAATTAATTATTATCTTTAAAGTATACACAAGCATATCATTTTATCATTAAAAAAGTTATATTTTTTTGTTAGCAAAAATGTTATATATTAGTTTAGAATTTTGATATAAAAATACCATATATATATTTGGAGATCATTTTGCCGTTCCTATATTAATTAATCAAACTAATTAAGCCCTAATCCGTCTTGATGCTTCGTATTAGCAGATATGTAAATTAAGGCTTTTTTCAGAGACCGTTGGTGTTTCCTGTCAGGAGACCAGTGACCTTTGTTGTCCGGTTATCTTTGTGTTTTTAACTTTTTTTCCAAACAAAATCATTTTTATTAACTATTAAAAGTTAAAACACAATATTAGGAAAAAAAACTCATAAAACCCGTAAACTATTTTTTATTAGACCTGATAACAATTGAATCTGAGTTGGTAATTTTTTTTTTTGAGAAACAGAATTACACAAAAAGCAAATAAAATCAGTACAAATAAAAACAAGAGAAAAGCGCAGGCAACACCTTATCACTATTCACCATACAGCCTTCAAGGTCAAAGTGAAAAGTTAAAAATTAAGTCTCTCTTTATCATTTAACTTTTATTTCTTTTATTTTAGGGTTAAGGTGCATCCAGCACCCTGAAGTATTTTCTTAGGTGCATCCATACCCTAAAGTATTTTATGGTGCATCCAGCCCCCTGAAGTATTTTCTTAGATGCATCCAACACCCTGAAGTATTTTGTGATGCATCTAGCATCTCAAAGTATTATTTTTTAGGTGTGTCCAACATCTAAAAATATTTTTTCGTACATCCACCACCAAGACAAAAAAAATACTTCAGGTGCTAGATGCATCATAAAATACTTTAGGGTGCTAGATGCACCCCACAAAATACTTCAGGGTGTTGGATGCACCTTAACCCTTTATTTTATCTTTTTCTTGAATTTTTAAATTTGGTACTTACAATTTTTTCCTGAAAAAAAGTCATTGAAGTCATCAAGCGCGAGATTTCGCTTCTCATAATTGGAAACAAAATGCTGCCTTTTGATTGAAAACAATGGATTAGATCTCATTTTACTTATAATTAAATATGTGTTGGTTTTCTTAAAATATCCTTTTCAATTATTTGGATTTAAATCACCCTTTGATGCCACTTCATTTAACAAATGCAATTAATACAATTAGTTTGATTGAATAAAAAGAACAAAATTGATTAGAATCTTATATTTTGAATCATATTTAATTCATTGCTAATTTTTATATTAAGAACCACAAGTACTATAAATATAATAGTCAGTGTACTTAATGTCACATGAATATTTTTTGGGAAAATTAGAGGGATCCAGTGGCAAGAATATTTTTTAGGAAAGATCTTAAAAATTATATTTATTTAGAAGGCCAAATACTAAAATATAAATTTAAAATTACCAATTTCCCCTTAACAAAATCCTATATGTTATCTCTCACCACATCCTATAATTTTCTTTTTTTAACAAAATAATTAAAGCTTATTCAAATTAATTCAAACTAATTGGAAGTTACAAAGTTACAAAACAATTCTAACTAATTAAATTCAATTCAATTAATAAGTAACACTAATTAATTTATTCTTTCATCATCTTTTAAAAAAATAAAACTCTTTTTTTTGGGCTTCCTGAATAATGAGCCGATCAAAATTATATAGTTAAATTAAAAAATAAAAAAAGTGATATAATAATAAATAATATATAACTTATCCATAATTAACAAGAATAAAGAATACCATCTAGATTTAAGTTTGAATTTTGGGAGAATGACAGAAAAAGAAGCTGAAAATTACAAATGCCAAATCATGTTTGATAACACAATTTTATTTGGTATTAACAAGTCTGAATTTGCAAATGACAACAAATTTTTGTTGATATTCCTTGTTTGGCATTTGCAAAATTTTAGCTTCTCTTTTTTGTCATTGTCCCTTAAATTTTCTTACTCAAACTATTATGACTACTTTTATTATGACAAATATTTCTTGATATAATGAATTTCTTATGTCACTTTTTATTTTAAATTTTAAATTTTATTAAGTAAGAGGATTCAACTTATTAAATAAAATAACAGTATGAAACAGATAAGTAAAAGGAAAAATTAATCTGGAAATTCTTATAGTTTTGCTCCATTTTAAAGTAGGTCCCTAAGCTTTTTTTTGCTTCTATTTATTGAGTCCTTCAACTTTCTACCGTTAGTGTTGTTAGTCCTTGAAGTTAAAAGCTGATAATCCTTGATTAACAGCGTCAAAACGTTTCTGTCAGAACAAACTTTTCTCCCTGGGTCTGTTCACCATCTTCTCCTTCCTCACTAATAAATGGCTCACCGTCTCTTCTTAAGCCAATGTTGTGATCAGCGTAGAGGATATGTGAGGCATAAAAAGCAGCAGGGATATGATTCGAGCTCGCTATATGTCACTTTTGTTTGTATAGACAATGTTCCCAAGGCAGACTCATACACAGAAAATATAAGAAAATGAGGAACAATGCCTACAGACGAGGGGCATCCTCCATCATGTAGCTGTCGTTTATATATCTATGCATAATATGTATATTAAGAGGACCTCCCCTGTTTTAGTAATACAAAAACAGAGCTATATTGCAAACACGATAGAAACACCAAAAAAACAAGTGCATTAGAGATGTTTGTGTTTAAGAAATTTCCCATTATTTTATTTATCGATCTTGCATGATCTGTTGCTTCAACCTACGGAGTTATTTCATTGTATATATGACTTAAGTTTGTAGTCTTTGATACCCACGCAACAGTGCCATGCAATGAAGATGTATGTATTAAAAAATTTCTCTCATCATTTTATTTAATAGAACTTGCATAACCCGTTGCTTCAAGAAACTGCATGTTATTTCATCATGGTATGCAAGAAGCCACATACTTCGAACTTAATTTGAGATTATAAATCAAGTGAAGTAACTATTAGTGTTATACTCCTCCGGTCCTTATTATAAGACCCAATTTGACTTTTTATTTGGTCCTAATTATAAGACCCAATCCATTTTCTCTCTTATATTTATGCATTTTTTTCCAAGAATCCTTCTAATAATGATAGTTTTAGCCAATATACTTAATTAGCAAGGATATTTTAGGAATAACAACACTTTTTATTATAAATAACCAACTTAACTTACTTCCTTAATCTCCTCAAATAAGTCAATTGGGTCTTATAATTAGGACCGGAGGAGTATTAAAATTAAATACCAGTGCTTCGGTTAGCATGAAAAAAACCAGTACTTTAATTTGCATTCAACTTCATGAACGGGCTTCAAAGGAACTTATTGCAGTACTCTCTTTCTCACATTCTTCCTCGGCCTGCTACTTTGGTGTGCAATTCACAATCACATTTGGACACCATGGTAACCTCCATTGCAAGTGACTAGTGGTTCCAGTAATTACAATCCTTGTTTGAAAAAGTAATAGAGGTGTAGTCGAAAAGTCGAGCTCATGGATGGCATGTATGTTGGGGCAGGAACAGTGAGCCATTTATTAGTGAGGAAGGAGAAGACATTGAACAAGCCCAGAGGGAAAAAGCTCATTTTGATAAGAATGTTTAACTCCGTTAACGATTTTTAATTTCAAGGATGGATGGTGCTAACGGTAAAAAGTTGAAGGATCTCATAAAAAAGGAAAAACCTTCAGGGACCTAATTCAAAATCAAGCCAAACTATGAGGATTTCCAGATTAATTTTCCTTAAGTAAAAATATGGAATAACTTTTTTTGAATGGCAGAACTTTAATGCCCTGCTCATTTTTAAAAAGCTTATAGAAAGTTATTAATTAAAAACAATGAAAAATAAATTAATTAATTAGAATCAATGTCTGACTTTGAAATTTAAATTAGTTTGAATTAATTCAAATAGATTGTAATTATTCTGCTAAATGAGACGAAAATTAGATGAGGTAATGAGAAAATATAGGGATTATGGTGTAAATAGGGGTAATTTCAGTCTTTTTAAGTTTATATTTTAATATCTGGTCCTTTTAAATAATTATGGCTTTTAAGATTCTTTCTAATAAATATCATTTCCACCGGATCCCTTTCTCTAATTTTCCCATTTTTTTCACTTGAAATTATGAATATTTTCTTATAAACGGGAGGTTGGTGGGTTCCATCCCTTTTATAACCTCGGTTGCAAGTGCCTACCTTTTTAATTAAAAAAAAATAATAATATCATTTTTTTTAAGCAAAGAAGAAATTCATTTCATAAAATCATTCAAAGACAGTGAAAGCAGGATCAAAATTAGCCTACATCAATATGAGAATTACAAAAATCAGTTTCTATAGGTTGACGCAAGGCAGGAAGCAGTCTCGTCAGCCTATTAGACGGGGCACGACCCATTCAAAGAAGCTTTG